GTTTTTCTCCCCCACCTGTGTTTTTTCTTTTGCTAGATGGCATTTTTTCTTCTTTTTTCTTTACGGGGGATTGGGGGGAACGCTTGTTGCTCTCGGATTTGGATAGAGGGAGTCAAGAGGAGGTTGCTGGGGACGCCAGCCACGCCAGCCCCTCAAGTGCCTGTCTGCCCTGGTGGGCCCAGCCTGCCTCTGGGCACCCCGTTTTCTCTCACAGATTATGGGGGAGAAGCGATGTAAGCCACCAGGTGGTGGCTCACATCAGCCTTTTCCCCCCTCGCTCGGCCTGAGTGTCCCCGCCCCCGCCGATGGCTCTCAAGAAGTATCCGAGTGTCTTTGTCGGTTTGCATTCATTCGGTTTGCACTCAGTGGAGCCAGGCTCGTCACAGCAGCCCCGGCTTTCTGCTTATTTCAGCGTCACAATTTTACCTGCCACCTGCGCTACTATTTTAACACTTTTCTGCCTTAAACGAGTTGCCTATTTTTGTGGTTTCCTGGGAGATACTATGTTCACAACCATGGGTTTCGCGTACTACTGTTTGTTTATGTTCTCTTGCTGCATCTTGGTGCTGGGATGGAATCCAGGGCCTTATGCTAAGTGCTCCAGCGCAGAGACATACAACAGGCTTGGATTTTTTGTTGCTGTTTTGGTTGCTGGCTGGTGTGAAGCTTGAGATCCTCCTGCCTCAACCTCCTGAGGGCTGATATTTCAAAAATATATAACCATGCCTGGCTTCAATTGTTTTCTTTCTTAAAGACAGGCTTCGGAGGCCTGGAGGTGGTAGCGAACACTTTTAATCTCAGTACTCCAGAGGCAGAGGAAGGCGGATTTCTGTGAGTGTGAGTTCGAGGCCAGCCTGGTCTACAAAGTGAGTTCCAGGAAAGCAAAAAAAAAAAAAAAAAAAAAAAAAAATGCTTCACTCTGAAACACAGGTTGGCCCTGAACTCAAGGCAATCCTTCTATGTCAGCCTCCCTATTACTGGAATTGCAAGTGTGAGCCATGATCCCCTTTCTTAAAGTTCTTAAGAACTGTAAAAGCATATTTTTTATTCTGTATACTTCTGGAAGTCTGACCCTCGGGCAATTGTCTTCCCTTGCCCGAGTCACCTACCCAAGTTGCTTTGCTGAACTGCTCTTAACACAGGCCCACACGACCTCCCAACTACATCTGAGGTTTGTAATATTCGTTGGAGCCTTTTTTTTTTTTTTTTGGATACATTATGTTGTCCAGGCTGGTGTCAAACTCAAGATTTCTTGCCCTCAGCCACCTGAGTAGGTGGGATTACAACCTCCACTCTTTCCAGAACCAGGGTTTGTTCAAATTTAGAGGAGCAAATTCTGGAGGTGTGACTCTGGGGAGGTGTGGTCTACCAGGGGATGGGTGGAGCAGTCCTAAATGCTGTACTTCCAAGGCCTGTCTCAGAGCCTCAAGTTAATTGTACGAAAATAAGTTTATTGACATCTTGTCAGCACTGAGGAGAAAAGTGGGGGGGGCTGAGCTCTGGAGGTCAGACATGCCACGCAGCCACGGGAGGCAGAGGACCCACCCTACACCTCCCCAGCCAGAATTCCACCTCCCTGTCCCTAAAGTCCTCTGCCTTCTATATTCTGATTGGCCTAGCACACTCCCAACCCTTCTGCAGTCCCTGCTGGGGGAGTGGGGAGGCCCCCACGCGGTGTAGCTTCTCATCAAGTCAAGAACAGCCAATGTTAGGCAAAGAGGCATGTCGAAGAGCCAGGAGGTTCCCCCTCCCGCCCCCCAAGGGGCAAGAAAACAACATAAAATTGATTGATGGCTTACAAGTTGGGGTTACAGGAGGCAGTCAGGCAGACACCACTGTACCAGAGAACGGGGCTGAGGGTGTCCCACCCAGAGAATCAGGCACTAACTAGCACAGGAAGTGGGGTTGCTCACTTCCTGTGAGCAGGAAGCCAGGGTGCAGCCAGGATGGGCAAAGAGCATCTCCTTCC